CCTGCCTTTCTCTCTTCTTGTGTTGCCAGAGGGGGAAAAATGGCCCAAACCAGTAAATTGGAAGAATTCTTCCTGTCGGGACAGTCCTTCTGAGGCTGGCTGAGGGGACCTTCCTGCCTTTCTCTCTTCTTGTGTTGACAGAGGGGGAAAAATGGCCCAAACCGGTAAATTGGAAGAATTCTTCCGGTCGGGACAGTCCTTCCAAGGCTGGCTGAGGGGACGAAAAGCCAGGGCTTCTGGAGGTTTTGCTTTTCCCAGGGGACAGGCAGAGGCCGTGGCTGGGCACTGCTGGAGAGGAGAATAAAATGGGAGCAGCCCAAGGTTTTTATTTTTGCTTCATCTTGCTTAAGACATATGTCTTGTCTCTTTCTATGGAAATGTTTGTTTAGCTAAACAACCCACAAGCAGGTGGGAGAAGAAAACTCTTTGTGACAACCACAAGTCTCCTCCTCGATAAAAAGACTGAAAAAGCTCAGTCTTACCGCTCTGGCACAAACGGACTTTTCATTGATATCATCCCAGATGAGAAAGAATTTAAACCCCAACCTCTGGAGAGCCTTCTTTAACATGAGTGTTTGCAGAAAGCCAAGGCCAGGCCCTGACGTCTCTCTCCCCTTTGCAACAGAACTTTGGTCGTCCCTTTTGACCAGGCGCGTGCTCTGCGGAGTCTTTGTTCCTGCGGGGCTGGGGTCTTGGCTCCAGCCGGGTGGGCTCTCGCTGCGGTCCCGCTGCGGCGAGGCTGTGCGGAGGGCCTTGCTGCCGCTGAGCTGCCGTGCTTTCCGAGGGTGGAAATGGACATTTCTGAAGGGAACGATCTGTCCTGCGAGGTTGTGAGGGACTGATGTGCTGTGCTGGTGCTGCCTGGAGTGTGCCTTTGCTGGAGAAGGGGCTGTTGTGACTAGCTCAGGGGAGGGTAGCGTTGTCTGGAGCAGGCAGGAGCGGGCAGCATTGTCTGGAGTGAACAGCATTGTCTGGAGCCGGCAGGAGGCGGGCGACTCAACTGGGGCGGGCC